TTTGTGTGTAATATGAGGATAAAAAGAAGAACAATGCCGTGACGGATGTAATGTTCTAAAATGATGCTAGTGATGATTACGTACCTTTAAGTTCTGTATTGATTTAATCCACAAACTTGAGAACAAACGAGTTGTAAGCCCTTGGATATCTTAGTAGACAGACCCAATCCCACTTCACAATATTGAAAAGTGTCATTAACTATCAGAATGTTCGCTTGGGTTACTTCTTTCTTGTTTTCCTTTTCTGATTGAATTTATGCAAACTCCCAGTAATCTGTGGCAAACAACTTTTGAAAGATTCTTTTAGCGTCTGATGATTGTTTTTGTAGACTTTCCCAAGCAACAAACATAAACACTTTAGTAATGGTGACTTTAAGGTCCATCATATCAGAACGTTCGAGTGCACTATTTTCCGTTTCTTTCATGCCAGACTCCAAAGTCAGTGCTACCATGTTGACAAAGTGCAAGGCATTTTCATACTCTCCCATATCCAAGTTACTATTCACTGCCCATAGAAACATTTCTGGGTGATCCCAATTTGTCTTAGATTTCAAAATATCTGCTATGGCTTTTACAACGCCCCTGTAATCTTTAATTAGTTGTAATAGACGGATATACTCTATACCCTTATAGTTGCATTAATCCATTCAGTCGACATCTTCTTTTAATATATAACAGATTCTTTAACGATGCTACAGTTTTCGTCTAAGCTCAAATCTCGACGGCCTGAAACAGCCCTTAATTAAATTATTCTTTAGTGATTTAGTGAGAAATCGATTTGCGGTTGAGCTTGGGGCATTTCCAATTCTACTATTACTACACTCCAAAGAGTGTCGACGGGAGTTGTACGAGGATTTGTCCGTTTCTTTGCTTCCATTCCCATTAGAGCTATTCATTCCCCCACTTGTTAGTTGTCGGTTTACATATATCCTGAATTGCTGGAACGTTTTTTTTCCATTTAAAGATAAAGTAACCATGGCAGCCGTCTCTGCTTTTTTTCATAGCATATTCCAAGGTAATGATAAGCTTTTGTTCTTTCTCTCATCGAAACAGTTCGTTCGATCAATTGAATTGCCTTTTCAGTGTATGAATTCATGAAGTATTTACCGCAATCAAACAAAAAATTTGAATTGTCCCCTGCGTCCTTCAGTGCTTTCTCACATAACTCGTTACCATTTAACCCCTGAAAAAGTTAGCTTGTTCAGTTTTGTAACATAATAATAATAATAATAAAGTTTATTTGAAAAACACGCTTCATCCTCAAAAGCTCCAAATGCCGTAAAAAGTCAACCATATTAAAAAGAGAAATAAAATAATATAAAATTTACCGCATTTAAAAAAAACAGACGCAAAACTACATACGAGCATCCCAAGTCAAAGTCTTTCATCCCTTTTCAACCATAAGCAACACAAAGAAAAAAGATGGTAGATAGCATCACCCCAGAAGGTGTTTGCGAAATAGATGTGTTTTTAAATCGGTTTTAAAGGACTCCAGTGTCTGACTATTTCTGATAGCGATTGGAAGGGCGTTCCAAATTGTTGGGCCGGCAAATGCAAAAGTGCGCTTTCCGTAAGTCTCAAGGCGAACACATGGTGTCGATATTTTGTCACTATCGGATGAGTGTAGCTCTCTTATTGGGTACATAAGGTGTCATGAGTGCTTTGAGATAAGATGGCGCCAGGTAATGTAAGCAACGGTAGCACAAAGTTGCACTTTTGTAATCTATGCGAGCGCGGACCGGCAGCCAGTGCAACTCTCTCAGAAGTGTTTTAGCATGGTCGAATTTGAGTTTACGAAGAACAATGCGAGCCGCATTATTCTGTGCTCTTTGAATTTCATCCAGGATCGTACCTGGGAGACCCACCATGAGAGCATTGTAGTAGTCCATGGGTGATAACACAAATGCAGACATCAGCCTCTTTGATGCATCTAACGTTAAGAAAGGTCTGATATGACTAATCCTGCGCAGCTCTAGAAAAATCGCCTTGCAAGCATGTTAATATGATTTTCCATAGTTAGTGCTCTGTCTAAATAGACACCCAGGTCTTGCAACTGTATGAGCAAATTCAAACTGCATACCTAAGAGAGTAAGTGATGTTGTGTTTTATACAGATTTTTGTTGAATAACCCAATCAGCTGGGCGTGGGCTAAACCACGGATTTTCGGATCGTTGTCACTGGTCACTTCCCACAGGTTTTCAATGGCCAATGACATCAGCTCTGATCGGTTGTATTTCTTTGTGACAGAGTAACACACGTTGAAGTTTGTCATGCTTCTGTACATGAGACCAAGACCGTACTTTCACAGGAGATTCAACGGCTTTTTTAGTGACGAATTCTTTGAATAGTTTGACTGACATTTCAAAAGCGCCCATTCTGCTGTCATAATACGCCTGCTCAGCTTTAGCTTCGGCCATCAGGTCTTCAAAACCTGGTCGCTTTCTCATGACTTCGAGGATATGAAGATATTTTTTCAGCCTTAATGTCATTTCCTTATTTGTACAAAATAAAAACCTGATTACCTATTGATGGAATGTTACTATTGTTTGTGGACGCCAAGACTTCTTTATTTTTTTTCTTTTGCCCTGCGCTTATTTGATTTATTCATGTGCTCAATCCAAGTTAATAAATTTTTATTTCTTAATTCTTCAATTTCTGAATATTTGCCAGTGGGTTTTTCCGTTGACACATTCTGTGTCATGTTTTCAAGAAGTTCTCTTCCTAGAGGAGGACTTTGTAGGTTAAAAGCACATGGAAACTCGTTCATACGATCTTGCATTGTAATCTGTATTTGGTAAGAGCAAAGAAACGCTATGAACCAATCTTTCATCGATAATGAAGTCAGAGAGACTAACACATTTTTGGAAATTAAATAACATTTTCCAGAACTTAACTTCCTTGAAAGGAGCAATTTTATTTTAGCGGAATTTAGCGAATTTAAAAATGATTAGGCTTGTACGATTCCTTTCCTTACCTTAATAATGAATTACATAGTAAGATTAGATATTATGTCACTTGTCATTTATTTCGATTAGTACGATCTTGTCCTATTAAACAACTATCAGCCATTTATGGAAACTCATTTTTAATATTTTCGAATACGAAGCCAATGAAACTATTTAACAACGATTAAATACAATACTTTAAAATCACCAATATATCTATATATATATATATCTATCTATATATATATATATATATATATATATATATGTATATATATATATATATATATATATATATATATATATATATATATATATATATATATATATATATATATATATATATATATATATATATATATATATATATTATATATATATTATATATATATTTATATATATATAAATATATATATTTATATTTATATATACATATATTTTATAGAGTGTAATCCATATGGTCCATATTAGTGATAGTTGATATTTGTATGGTCAGGTCCAGATATGGACGATGTTGGTTCAACACAATTTATGACGATAATTATAGCAGTTATTGTGCAGCCATATCCAAAAGAAATAACACCGTGAAGATTAGTCAACCATTCTATTTTGATAGGTGTTGGTTCGATTGTTAAAACCAGCTATCTTAAGACTCATCAAAGACTAAGTAGGCAATATTCGGTCTTGCTAGCCACACCTCACCTAAATGCCTATGGGGTCGGCGCTTTAGGCAAACTGATAGGATTATACCAATAAAGCTTCACATATTGGGTTTATGTTTGGTGGAACTGTCATTATAATGCACACTACTAAAGATCAAAGTAATCATACCGATAGTACCGTTTGGACTTTAGACAGGCATATTTTGATATTTTAAAGTCACTCTTGTGAAGACGTGTGCCTCAGTACCGAGGCACTAACCAACATTAAGTTTGATTACATTGATTTAAAAATACTCAACTTTTGTATTCGGTTAACATTATATTTTCTGAGATATTCCGTATTTAAAGTACAATATAATTCAAATAATATTAAATAAATACAATTTAGTTTTTTTTCAAAAAGATTGAGATGAAAAAAAAAAATGTTTAAAATATTTAAATTAACAAACAGGTGATGTGTTTAATTATTTCTTAACACCAGGTTGCAGCTTCGCTGTATTATTTAAACGCTCACTTTAAGATATTTAACTAACAATTTTGTTATTATCAGCTTATTTCATTACACACTTAGCTCAATTTGTTTACATTTATATTTTTACTCGTTTGTTTGTTTGTCTCCCGATGTATTCTTCCAGCCGAAATGTACATTTCATTGCACTGTCCCACCACCCACCCCCCCCCCAATCTAGCTTCTATATGACTTGTTTTATTTCATTCTAACTCTAGTAATAAATGTATTAATTTTTTTTTATAATTCATTTTTGGTTGAATTGTATATAGCTACAAATACTGGAAGGTTTTACCAGGAAAACTTAAGTTGCCTATTTACAATATTATTATGGATACTTCTCCGGTTATATTTTTAAATCTTAGCTAAAAAAATTAATATGTGTATGTATGTATGATTTTTTTAAGGGTGGGGTGTTACGGGTTCCATTAAATTATATGTCTTAATTTTATTAGCCGCAACATCAAATGAAATAGGGGTTCTATAGTAAGAATGTTCTCATCGTGTTAGTTTAAAAGTCAATAGCTTGAAGACATGTTACTGAAAGCCAATGAACCTTGTAAAGCAATTACTTTTCAATTGGTGTGTAGCGATAATTATTTTCCCATTGAATAATGACATTACCTTGTGACGTCATACTACCTTATTCACCTGACCTAGTTTGCGTGTCAATTCCACGATCAATCAGCTTGTTTGGCTCGCTTTGCTGCAGCTATTGGAAGTTCCGTTGTGAAGTATGTTTCAGAAATATAATGGATCATACAATTTGGGACAAAAATAACTTGCTATTTTTCACACTTTCTCGTGCTTACTCGAAACATAGGGCCTTGTTCATGCCTGACTTTTAAGTGTGTGTCTCGGTTATTTGTTAACCTTTGAAAAGCTAACACGTACTTAATATGTGTATTCGAATGTGTAAAGTATATTAAACGATGGCTGCTCAGGTAAGGTGTATATATACTTATTATTATCTTTTTATTGAACCACATATGCAGTTACATAATATATTTGTATGCAAGTCTAGTTTAAAGATAATTGTTTTAATAATAAAAGAATATGTTAAGCTATATTATCAACTATGTATTTTAAATTAACAATTGAGAGGATACAAAAATTTTTTTTAATGAATTTAGAATGTAATATGTAGAGTCATATTTTTCTTTTGATTTGTATCTGAAATTAACTCCGCTCGCTGAAATGTCTAGTTAGAAAGTTGTAAGCTTAATCAATATGCAGATCGATAAACTTCAAGTGAAATATCGCAATAACATTAGTGGAAATAAAGTAAGTATCTGTGTACTTCGCAAAAAACTGATAGCAATAGAGGAATCAATAAACTGTGCTGAAACATATTAGTGTATTGATCTGCGTAGCGGCTATTGCTTTAAAAACAAAATATTCCTGAACTTTATCACGGGATCTAAACATCATTGCAGCCGAAGAAAATTATTTTCAAATACATATAACTTGCTCATTACTGATATCCCGTAGCTCTATAGAAGAAAGCAATCCTTATTCACGATCACAAATCATCCTCTAAGTGAACTCTCACCCACGTCATTTCAGAGTAGGTAACTCCGACATACTGTTTACATACTTTGTTAGGAATCTTGGTTATATTCTGTCCAACAACTTGTCTCTCGATAATCACATCTCTTACATTTGTCACACTGCATTCACCGATATCCGTCAAATCAGCTCCATCCGCTACTACCTCACAGTTATCGCAACAAAACCCTTAGCCTATGCTCTTGTTCTCTCTCGTCTTGACTTTGCATCTCTCATCTGTAAGGTGCATCTAACTATTTTATTGAAAAACTGCAGAAAGATCAAAACTCAGCTGCTAGGCTAGGTCTAAAGGCAAACAAAACATGAGCACGTCACACAATAAGTTCTTTCACTTTATTGGCTTTATGTACAAGAACCGATTGACTACAAAGTCTCTATTCTCTGCCACAACTTTTTCTCGAATTCCTGCCCTTCCTTTCTAACTGAACTTCTCTCAGTCTATTCACCCCTTCGACAGCTTCGCTCCTCCACAGACGCGCGTATTTTTTCTGTCCCTCAGACTCCCACAAAAAATTACGTTGGACGATCTTTCTCTTTCTGTGCCCCCTAAGCTATGAAATTCTCGTCCACTGAACATTTGCAATATACAGACCATATTAACTACATAATAGGGTCATATAGAAATGGCTGATTAAAGACGATGTTGTGGACTTCGCAGGACGAATTCCACAAGGAATGGGATTATTCTTCTAGGATTATAAGCTTCTGCCCAACAGAAAATCACCTCTCTCCACGTTGGTGGATAGACCATAAGGGAACATCATGTGGCAGGCACCAGTCGTGTCACAGGAGTTGTCAGTTTGTTTCTTTGTTTTAATGCTATCCTCCAATGGGACTCCCTCCATGGGTTTTAATTCAGAGTTCTTCTCGTAGATTAGTTCCATGCAAAGTTAACGAGTCCCATCCACCCAGGTAGCTGGTGATGCATTTGCTTGATTGAACTCCAGACCATAAACTTGAGAATTTCTCTGTTCAGTCCATTCGGCAATTCGGCACCAAATTGGCTGATAACTTATTCAAAAATATTTTATGACAAATTTTAGGTTTAAAGAAAATATCAAAAATCAATAAAGAGAGAATGTTCGCGTTGCAATAGGAAATGTGTACCCCGATCTGCCAAACTTTAAAGTTTTAGAAACGGACGTCACCGGGGGGGGGGGGGATGATACTCAGCTCCTGGGTCTTTTGGGTCAGACCTAAGGGTGTGCAAATTAAAAACATATACAGGGCACGACCGTGAGCAACCCAGGAAAAAACCCGATTGTTTTAAAAATGCGATCAAGGAAATACTACAGTTTTCAATCCATATTCCAAAACTGAACACAGGTTCACTACATTAAAGAGCTGCATGTTATAGACGTGTGCTAGAAAGCTCTGGAAGTCTCATCTGAGGCCCAACGGCTGTCTCGCATTGTAGTTCATTCTTCATGATTTCAGAATTAGATCGGGCTAAGCCAGAAATTACTTTTTCTCGCAAAGAATAACTTTTCATTATCTTGGAATATGTTATGGACAAGAAAGGCGAGAATTCCGCTGGGCTTGTTTATATCCACGCTTCAACCAATGTGTATATTACACTGTTTACTTACATTTAGAGTTTTCTCAAAGAAATAGATTATTACATCTGACATATAGATTTCTTGCAGAACTATAGTGTTTTGAATCTAAATTACGCGAAATAGTTTTGATATTTACAAAAGAAATTAATAATATAAATTATAAAAAGTAGCTTTATTTTATTTAGGGAGAATTTATGATATTGTAAAATGTTCATAGTCAACAAGACTGAATAATTAATCACCTAGAGAACATAGCATTTCTTTTATCATTTTTAAAAAAATAGATCATCGGACTAAATCAAATGGAGGCATTCCCATGTGCGTTTAACCTGAAATGTGCACCTCCAACTAGACACCATCTCCAACACATGAAGCACAACCTATCAACGGACAAACCCACTGGAAAATATTATAAAATCGAAGAGACACGAAATAAGAATTTATTAACTTGGGTTGAGCACCTAATTGAACCACTGGAAAGCTTGGCTAAAGAGATAAATGAAGAAGTCTTGGCAGCTACAGAAAATTATAACATTCCATCTATGGCTAATCGGGTTTTTATTTTATACAGAGAAGGAAATGACATTGACGCTGAAGAATATGTTAATACTCTAAAAGCCATGAAAGAGCGTCCAGATTTTGAAGACCTGATGACAGAAGCTAAAGCTGAGCAGGCGTATTATTACAGCAGGATGGGAGCTTTTGATATGTCAGTCAAACTGTTTCAAGAAATCGTCACTAAAGAGCCTTTAAATCTCCTGTGGAAGTACGGACTTGGACTTATGTACAGGCGCATGACAAACTTCAATGTGTGCTACTCGGTCACAAAGGAATACAACGTATCAGAGCTTATCTCCCTGGCAACTGGATGTCTGTTGGACGTCACTAACAGTGACGAACCACAACTCCGTGGTTTGGCCTACACTCAGCTGATTGTCATGTTAAACACATATTCCACTACTGAACACATTTATTGTTTTCAGGGATTAAATGGGAACGAGCTGTGTGAGAAAGCTCTGGAAGTCGCAGCGGACAATCCAACTGTTCTCTGTCATTGTGGTGGATACTTCATGAATTCAGACATTGATAGGGCTATGGCGTTAATCGAAAAATCTCTTTCATTCAGAAAGAATACGATGGCTTTTCATTATCTTGGAATGTGTTATGAAAAAAAAGCCAAGAATGCCGCCAGAGATATTCTATCTCCAAATGACAAACAACCCCGACAAAATAACATTGACAAAACCACAAGTTTGAGAATGAGTAATATTAATGTTTTTAATTTAGCACGCTCTACAGGAAATAAAATTTACCTGGAGTCACAAGATCAACATAAGTTTGTTAAAGTCTATTTGAGGAAATCAAGCACACGATTAGATCAAAACTGCAGTTTAGTTGAAAAATCTAGGGCGAGTTATGAAGAAGCTATCAAGTTGTCTAAAAAGAGAAATATCCCGTCTATACTCAGCTTAGGCAAACTTTACAAGAGATCAAATCGTTTTAAAGCAGCTCTGCAGCAATTCAGACAAATAATGAATCTCGAGCAAACAAAGATGACCTACCTGGTAACTTTAATCACAGCCTATGAAGAGTCTGGTATTTGTTTGTTAGAGCTTAGTCAAATCTATCCAGAGAAAAGTCAGAAATATTATGAACAAGGGAAAGAATACCTCACCAAGGCTATCAGTCTTGCTGCTGATCTCGCATCCATGAAGCCAGGTCCAAAACAGTGTGAAACATTTGTAAGGAAATCATTTGAAATATTAAAAGATGACATCGACCGGATGAATGATTGTGAAGATAAGGACAAGGAGTACATCCGACTTTTAAAATTAGTAAACGATTACAGGGGCATTGTATCTGCCATTGATGAAATGTTGGAGTCGGAGACAAAGTTTAAAGACCCGGAAATGGCTCTTTGTGCAGTGAATAGTTACTTGAGGATTGGAGAGTATGAAAATGCCTTGACCTTTGTCAACATGATTACGCTTGCCTGGGGATCCGATTTGAAAGAAACAAAATACATTGACTCAGAACGAACTCAAATAAAAGACTATAAAGCCACCTTTACCAAAGTTTTTCTGTTGGTTGCTTGGCAACGTCTACAAAAAACGTCGGCAGACGCTAAAAGAATGTTTCAAAAGTTGTTTGCCACAAAGTATGGGGAATGTTCAGAAATTCGATCAGTTTGTACAATGGAAGTCAATGCCACGAAAGCCGATATTCTGATTGTAAATGACACTTTTCAAGATTGTGAAGAAGGTTTTGGTCAGTCTACTAAGATGGCCAAGCAGTTAAAAATCCTTTTTGATCACGTATGTGGCTTCAAAACATTTCGGAACTTAGAGGTAAATATTCATAAATTAATAATTAAATAAATATGTCACTAAAATTTTATTGTGGTGTGACGATTTTTAAATCTAGATTAATCCTTTTCTTTCTTTTAACTATATGAACATCGTTTCTTAAATAGATGTATTTTTTCCTTTTGATGTTAGAAGCATTTCATAGCTGTTAATATTTAAAGTTGATCGAAAGCTACACATCTAACATTTTTCACACTAAATCTTAGCGTCTGAAATGTAATCCATCAGCAACAAGTTCGTGTTGACATTTCGACTACACAGGGAAAATATTCATTACGATGTTTAAACACGATATAATTAATATGTTGATAGTCATTCGTTGAGAATTATGACAATATTTTATTTTAAATTATATAAAAGTAATTACTAGTTGCTTTTTTTCTCTGTTAAGTCGTCAGTTTAATACAAAATGAATGATAAGATTAGTTGTTTAGCCCCCCAAAAATATTCTTCACATATATAATAATGTATGAACACAATCGCACTGCACAGTATTACACAAACAATTTTTAAAACAATGTTTTTGGATATCCCAGGAAAATAACGAGTTCAGCTGCAATGGGATAGAGGCTCTGTTCCAAGAAATGAAGCGCTATTCAATTGTGTTCCTCGTTTTAACCGAAGAACAAAGGTAACCTTACTAAATTTTAAAATGCAAATGCGAATAAATTGACCCACACAACCTTGAAGCAACGTTAGCCTTAACTAAACTTTCGCCCTGTGTGAAGTACACGTTCGGTCGCTACTTCCCAAATGTCCACGCCTTTCGGTTTGTCTTACCCCCAGTGTTAGTATCCAAATTAAAAAAATGCAACTTTTACTGTATGAAAACTCATTGTATGAAAAAAAAAATTGTAGGAAAAAAAAATAATACTGTTCATCCACCTCAGACCCGAGGTTCACAATGTACTATAATAAAATAAGGGAATGTCAATATTTGTTGGGACCCACAAGAGCCCCCATGGCCACGATACCCTGTGCGAGGGCACAGGCCCCACACCCTATCGACCGGCCTTGCTGGAGTACAAAGTGTGTGTTTGTGTTTGTAGAAAGACCACTTTATAGTGTCAGCAATTTTTTGTATCTGAAAGGGCAACTTTATAATGCCATTTATATACTTAATTTAGACATCAAGCAGTTAATGAAAATGTTAAATTATATATATATATATATATATATTTTAAATGAAGTGCCGATTCGTTGTTTTAATAGAAAATTCTATATTAATTGCCTTCTTATATGTATGTGTTATTAATGATAAAACGATTAGATTTAGTCCAAAGTTTATGTGAAAACAGGACAACAAAAATATACTAATTGATAATTTGATTAAGCAAACAACTTAAATAACTAAACTAGTGATTAAAGGAAATATTTAATATGTATTTAAATAGTCTAGGTTATTTGTGAAGATAACAATATAAACATAACTATTATGTTCAAATCTTCATTTTTATTTCCTGCAATCATTTCTCTGCTTCATTCGTAAAAAAGTCCAGTGGTACTTGTAAAACAAACAAATAATTGTAACACATTATTGTTTTACTTTGCTTCCAGGGACCCATTATTCGACCACATGCTCCAGACCATACCAGAAATAAGAGATGACAAAAATAATCCAATCAACGTGTTCATCATTCAGTCCAGTGAGCAGGTCATCATTCCTGATATGTTGCTCAGATACAAGCAGCGTAGATTCACTTTACCCCAAGATGATCCGATTTTGTCTATTAAAGAACCTGATGAATGTTTAGATGTGACCAACACATGTGTTGCAGATAAAAAACTTTCTTCTTGTTTATTTGTGACTAACTCAAGTGATTCAGATCAAACACCTACCGTATGTTCAGACTTGACAAGTAATAAACATCTAAGAAATAATGAAGGTTTAGATGTAAAAAACACGATTGATTTAAGTCAAATAAATACTGCTTGTTTAGATGTAACAAACTCAAGTAAAACAGAACAAAAACATACTGAATATTTAGATGGGACAAACTCAAATGATACAGACACAAGAAGTAGAGAATATTTAGGTTTTGCAAACTCAAGTGACAAACATCAAAGACATACTGAATTTTTAGATGAGAAAAATTCAAGTGATATAGGTCAAATGCCTATTCAATATTTTGACAACATTACAAGAAATATAGATCAAAGAACTACGAAATGTTTAGACTTGACAAGTGAACCAAATGAAAGACACACTGCATGTTTGAATGTGACAAACTCAAGTGTTGCACATCAAAAACCTACTGCAATTTTTGATGTCACAAACTTAAGTGATATACATCAAATACCTACTGCAGGTTTAGATGTGACAAACTCAAGTGCCACGGATCAAGATCGTCGCCCACAGTTTCATCAAAATGACGTCATCGTTGAACACATTATGTCACTGGTTTGCTTTATGCTGAAATTGGATTTCAGCCAACTTAAGGATGAATACAGCCATTTAAAAACTTAATACGAGAAAAGCATTACCTTAAATATCGTCTTTTAAACTAAACTAACTTTATGTACAACCTAGTCGTCATTTACATAAGTGGAGATGGAAATTGTCTTTAGTACTTGTAAAATATCCTGCAATATGTATGCATAAAGCTGCTAAAAGTATTTGAATATAATAATAATAATAATAATAATAATAATAAAGTAGTTCATTTCAAAAACACGCTTCATCCCCAAAGGCTCGAAGCGCGGTACAAAGTCAACAAAAAACAAATCTATAATTTACCACATTTAAAACAAACGCAACACTACAAAAACTAATTACAAGCATACAGTGTCAAAGTCTTTCTAGCCATTTCAACCATAAGCAACACAGCCATTATGCATTAACTGGAAAATAAGGTAGACAATCATCCCAGAAGGTGTTTGCGAAATAGANATATATCACACACTCGAGCTCTCTCTCTCTCTCTCTCTCTCTCTCTCTCTCTTTCTCTCTCTCTCTTTATATATATATATATATATATATATATATATATATATATATATAGATATATGTAAACGGGAATAGTTGGTACTCAAATTATTTGATCTTCTATTTCAGGACTAGAGCCTTCAAGTTAATTGTTTAAAATTAAAACTATATAGGATTCTACGACGTAAATCTCATGACAGCTTGGTAGCTATAACCTGCATATTTCATATTGAAAAAAAATCGCTGAATTTTAAAGTAACCTAAATTTCACAAAATTCGGGGTGGTCTAGAATTTAAAGATTTTAATGGCAGAACTTTAAAGTTTTATTCCATTATCTGGCTGCCGGTCCGCGCTCGCATAGAGTACAAAATTGCAACTCTGTGCTACCGCTGCTTGCATGACCTTGCGCCGTCCTATCTGACAGCTCTCCTGACGCCTTAAGTACCCACTAGATCACTTCGTTCATCCGATTGTGGCAAACTCTGGATACCGCTTGTTTGTCTTGAGACTTACGGAAGGCGCAATATCGCTTTTGCTGGTACAAAAATCTGGAACTCATTTCCTGTCACGCTCAGAGACAGCTAGACACTGAAGTCTTTCAAAACTAAGTTGAAAATAAAATTTTATTCGCACTCACCTGCTGATGTGATGTAGTCTTCCACCATGTTTCCAGCTTGCTCATATATTTCTATGTATATTTGATTATATTGTCCATTGACTTGTTGGTAGATTTTTTATTGTTGCGTTTTGTATTTCAATGCTGGAAAATATAAAGTGTCACATATGGTCGACTTTGTTCCACACTTCAAGCCTTAACTAGGGATGAAGTGTGTTTTTAAAATGAAATTTATTATTATTATTATGTATCTAAATGGTTTTGAGGGCTCCCTTTTTTAATTATAAAACGGCATCTTATGGAATGGGCCTCAAAAAGGGGTGCCTCTTTTAAATGAAATATGACACAGTTGTGAGTATTTTAGGTAGATTTTTTTTCGTATTACAAAAATATTTGCGCAGAACAATGACATTTTATAAGTTTCTGAGGGGAGAAGTGTAATAAAATAATTTAAATTTTATATTCAGACAGTTCTGTATTGTTCCACGGAGAGATACATTTTGATCTAAAAAGTAATGAAATATTTTTTTTTTTACTTCTATAGATTTTTACACCCTGGAAATGTTCTCAATGCTGTTAACTTTTAAAAAAAAAATAGATGCTTGAAATTTCTAGATTGTTCTAGACTATTCTTTTTTTTCTATAATCGTTTTAGGATTATACGAATGGCTCTTACATTGTTTCTAACTTGATTCTATAATTTTCAATAATTTCCAAAAATGCTATGTAATCCGATTTAGAAATAATTTTTTAATTGTATAATAATTTTTTAATTAAATTTCCTTTATGATAACCTAAGCTATATGCGTAAACAAAGATTAAATTAAATGCTTCTACATGTCTTGATAGATCTTTGCCCAAAAATATCCCACCCGTGTAAGTAGGAACGGCAACAACTGATGAGGGCTTTTTGCCGACATGTTCATTGTTTTGTTGACTTCGTACTTTAAGGTTTTCCTTTATTTTGT